TTTCATTTATTCCGTGTTCCAATAAATGCGTTATATTTATATATATATATATATATATATATATATATATATATATATATATATATATGGTTGGATAGATGTGAGTTTTGTGACCCTGGGTTTCACGCTACGATCGCTAATAGGTTTCACGTTTTTAGCGATCGTCAGTATTCACGCTTTAGCGATTGTCAGACAAACACTGTTTGTCTGACGATCACTAAAGTGTAAAACTCTGTCTTATCCACAGAATTGATCTGGGAATTTAACTACATATATATATATATATATATATATATATTTATATATATATATATATATATATATAAAAGTGAACATAGAAGTCAACACTTAGAGGCGACAGTCTGTTTCATGCTAGATGCAATCGTCAGACCACTAGCAAGAAACGCCTCTAATATTGACTACATGTTCACTTTTTATATATATATATATATATATATATATATATATATATATATAAAAGTGAATAGAAGGCCTGACGATTGCATCTAGCATGAACAGATTGTCGCATCTAAGTGTTGACTTCTATGTTCACTTTTTTATATTTACACACGCTCTATCTCTGATATTGAACACTTTATCCCATAAATATAGCACACCTAATTATATTTCTTCATTCATATATATATATATATATATATATATATATATATATATATATATATATGACCCTTTGTGTGTGTATGTGTAACAACGTGGAAATGACTAGACTATGATCGACATCTATCGTCAGGTGAGTAAGAGACAGGTAAAAAGTAAAGCTGAGTACACAATGAATTCACCACCACCGCCACTGACATGCGCCCCCACTGACAGGCGCAATTGAAATTGACATTAAGCGTGGAGCAAAAAAACAAAACAATAGAAATGAAAGCAAATGAAAGCAAAACAAGATAAAGAAAAAAAATAAAATATTGTAAATTACATGCAAGAGAAAATTGCAGATCTGAGGCATGCAACGATTTGATTCTTTAGCAAATATAAATGATATTCTTTGCTGCGTCATTTCGTAATTTAGGAGAAAAACTCCCGAAATTAGGAGCGTCGTCCCAGAATAGAAAATGGATTACAAGGATGACGAGTCATCTTGTGAAGTGAAAAATTAAAAAAAAAATAATTCTTGATGGTTGAGGAAAAAAAAAATGATGAAAACGTCTTAACAATATTCCCTCTTATAATGTTACAATAATAAACGGAGAAATATGATTGGATTTACAATAATTAAACTATATACGGAACAATATTACCTCATTGTTTAAAGCGCTTTCATAGACAATCTATCTATCTATCTATCTATCGATCTTATCTATCTATCGAGGATGTATAAATGACACAGGGATGATAAGATCTATCTATCTATCTATCTATCTATCTATCTATCTCATTCTATATCTATCTATCTATCTATCTGTTGTGGTACGATCCGCCTAATTTACATAGTGGAGTACCGACCATATAAATATGGTTGGTACCGGGAAGACTGGGGAGGAAGAAGAGACCCAATCCAGAGACTCTGCCCGACTGGCGACTAAGTCAACCCATTCTACAGGAACGGTCTTCCCAAGAATATACCAAAACTATCTGTAAATATTGTGTACACGTTCTTGTGTCAATACATTTTGTTTAAGTACATTTTGTGTTGTATTATTATTATTCCATGCTTTATTCAAGTTTCAACACTATCTATCCATCAAGCAAGTATAAATGACACAGGGATGATAAGATCTATCTATCTATCTATCTATCTATCTATCTATCTATCTATTTCGCTCAAGATCACATCACGTTGAAACACCAGTTCATTTATGATCATCGAAGTTAACCAATGTTTAGCCTGATCTATCTATCTATCTATCTATCTATCTATCTATCTATCTATCTATCTATCTCAGTCTATTCAATTCTATCTATCTATCTATCTATCTATCTATCTATCTATATATCTATCAATATATAACATTGTTTCAGTACTTATCTTTTACTTTAATCATACCAGAGTTAAGCCCAAGCCTGCTGGTAACATGTAACACAGTCCAACCTGCTGCATGAGGGTAGATGGAACTCTTTAGCCTTGGAAACCATCCCATCTAAGGAAAGGACAACCCCGATTCTAAATCACTGCTGCTTTGTGGGATAGCTAATCATAGGAAAGGCTTTGGGAGTTAACCCTGGGGAAAAATACGGAATTCGAAAAAGTTTATCGCTAATCTCAGCCTCGTTCTGGTATCTCCTGTGGCGGTGCTGGTGCCAAAGTGTAATTGTCTTCTTGTCCCTTTCGATCCATCAGCGATGTGGAAAGGAGTGACATGCTGTATGGGTAACACCTTGTCCTCCATACCATCCTTCCCAGGCTTGATCCTACCTTACGCCTAACACTGGAGAGATAGTTAATCCGGATATCAAACTGGCGAGAACACTCCAGCTTCGCTATCAGTGTTGACACGAAACGGGGAGTAGCAGTGTACTAGTTATAAATCAAGGCGCGATTAGCTTCGAGCTTAGCGCCAGGGGTTGCTCTTGACGGTGGCAGGTACAATCGGGTCCCACTGGACAGCTGTCACTCGCCTCAAGCTGGGCAGCCACCCTACCAGAATGATGGTGTCTCGTCACATACTGCTTTCCTTATGTGTTTCACGGTCACCAGGAGCAATCTGAGAAGCATATCTGAGAATGATTCACCAAGCAAAATGAAACAAGGGCAAAAGAGACCATCTCTGAAACTGGGAACTTGGATGGTCCGTACCATGTTGACAGGCCTTACAGAGAACCTCAGATACATTGGCGATGCCAAGAAGACAGCTGACGAGATGAAGAGACTAAACGTGGATATAGCCGCCCTTCAGGAAACTTGTTTAGATGAAGTGGACACAATAAAAGAGAAAGACTACATGATTCTACTGGCAACATGAAGTGGGCAAGGTTGTGAACACCATGTTGAATGTGGAGCTAAGCAGCAACGGCTCAGCACGTCTCCGCACTCTTCGCCCCAAATCCCTGAAATTCCCCTTTCCTCAGTGTGTATGACCCATCCTAAGCGTCTCGCCTGAAGGAGTTCTAGGAAAGCCTTAAAACCATAATCGGAAACATCGCCAGCACGGAGAAATTAATCCTCATGGGCGACTTCAATGACAAAGTCGGCACTGATCATCCTGTCTTGGAACATTTGATGCGGGGAAAAATGATTGAAAATGGTAAGCGGTTCCTCGAATTTTGCACTTTCCACAACCTGTGCATCACTAACGGATACTTCCAGACAAAACACGGACTCAAGCTTTCATGGCGAATTGGCAGCAGCTGGACCTGATCCTGAGTAGGAACACCTTACTCAAGAACGTAGTACCGTAATTCTCCATGTATAATACACATTTCTTTTCTAAAATATAACAAGCAAACTTAGGGGTGCGTATCATGCCCAGCTACAAAAGATCTTTAAAAAAATTCCGTTTCATAGCTCGATTTCAGTTGTGAAATGACTACTCACCACAAACATACAACAATTTGACACTAACATTCGGCGTTTGCGACCCAATAAGGATGTCAAATATAATCATATGTACCTAACAATACTTAGTAATGTAAAATAAAATAAGATTATTCCGTGGTGCTTGAACCGGCTTCTAATGCTCTGGATGGCGCGACTTGGGTGCCCAGTCCTATGGGTAAAGAGAAGCTCGAATGAGTTCCACCACGGAATATGTGATCGAGCGGCGCTATATCGAGTCTGATTCGCTACCTTTCCGTCACCGAGGCCCGTTGGTACAGTTGGTATGACGTTTGATAACGTAACTGTCCTGGTTTCAATTCTCGGTAGTGGATGTGCCCCGCTGATGAGTCCCAAATATAGGACGAAAACTGAATTCTGTTGCGGTTCCTTCTAGACTCGATGACTATAAATATATATATATATATAATTTTTCATACGTTCTTTTTATAGATAAAAATATTTAAGTAAATGCTCTGTTTTTAACATAAAAGAATGTATAAACATAAAAATGTCTTAAAATAATTGTCGGACATTGTCCATTTCATAATATATATATATATATATATATTGTATATATAATATGTATATTGTATATCCTTGCTTGAATCGGCTTCTAATGCTCTGGACGGAGCAGCTTGGGGATAGTAGTCGTGGCTCGTTGGGGTACTGTCATATGGGTAAAAGATAAACTCACCACGGAGTACGTGATCGAGCGGCGCTATATTGAATCTAATTCGCTACCTCTTCGTCCCCTAGGCCGGTTCGAACAGTTGGTATGACGTTTGCTTGATAACGTAACTGTCCGGGTTTCAATTCTCGGTAGTGGATGCGCACTGCAGATGAGTCCCAAATATAGGACGAAACGGCCGCCTAGTGCTTTCTGTTTAGGTTTCTTCTAGACTCGATGAATTACTTATATATATATTTATATGATATTTGGATATATAATTTACAAATTTGAAATACAAATTGAAATACAGAGTTTGACAAGCAGAGAATGCGTTCTTGTTAACCAGTACAGAGAGAAAATCGAAATGTTTCAAAAGATAATATTTCTTTCGTTTCCATAGCATTTTTTGTGGGGAATGGGGTACTCCGGGTATTTTCAAGGACCCAACGTGCAGTGTAGAGAAACGACAATCACTTATTATTGTACCTTAGTAAATACCCGTTTATTCCAGCCGGGTACACACAACAGGCAGCCTGTCGTCGAACACTCCACAGTAAAGTACTTCAGTTTCTTGCAAAACAATAAACAAATAATGATACATGTAAAGATCTAGATTCTCCTGCAGCTGTTTGCATCTTCTTCCTTCTTTTGATGTTTAGCAATCTCTTTCAGCGCATATAATTCAATCAGAGAAAGAATCTCTTTCCGCCGGCAGATGGCGCCCTTTTGATTATTCTTTATGTCCGTTTTTTTTTTCTTTTTGTTTTTTGCTTTTTTATTTTTAAAATGCTTCTTTTTTTTTCGTTCCGGATATTCTGATTTTCCTTCATGTATTTTTTTCCAATTCATAAACATTCATTCCTTCTTTTCTCTTTTCTCTTTACTTCTTCTGCGCTCATTCATTCATTAAATTCTTTCCTTCAATGCTTCTTGTATCTTCGACTTCCATATTTCATTATCTTTATTTTCTTCATTTTTATCACTCAGTGGATTTTCTTCTTCTTTTTCGATTTCTTTTTCTTTTACTTCTTTAATTCTTCTACTTCTCCTTTTTTTTCTTTCTTCTTCTTCTTCTTCTTCTTCTTCTTCTTCTACTACTACTACTACTACTATTTATTTTCCTGCTTCTTTTCGATTTTTCTTTTCTTCTTCTACGTCTTCGAATTTCTCCTCCTCCTCTTCCTCCTCCTCCTCTTCTTGTATTACTACTACTACTACTACTAATACTACTACTACTACTACTATTTATTCTCCTGCTTCTTTTCGATTTTTCTTTTCTTCTTCTTCTTCGAATTTCCTCCTCCTCCTCCTCCTCTTCCTCCTCCTCCTCTTCTTCTATTATTACTACTACTACTACTCCTATTTATTCTCCTGCTTCTTTTCGATTTTTTCTTTTCTTCTTCTACGTCTTCGAATTTCTCCTCCTCCTCCTCCTCCTCCTCCTCCTCTTCTTCTATTATTATTACTACTACTACTACTACTATTTATTCTCCTGCTTCTTTTCGATTTTTCTTTCCTTCTTCGTCTTCGAATTTCTCCTCCTCCTCCTCTTCCCTCCTCCTTCTTCTTCTATTATTATTACTACTACTACTACTACTATTTATTCTCCTGCTTCTTTTCGATTTTTTTTTTCTTCTTCTTCTTCGAATTTCCTCCTCCTCCTCCCTTCCTCCTCCTCCTCTTCTATTATTATTACTACTACTACTACTACTATTTATTCTCCTGCTTCTTTTTCGATTTTTTCATTTTTTCTTCTTCTACGTCTTCGATTTCTCCTCCTCCTCTTCCTCCTCCTCCTCTTCTTGTATTACTACTACTACTACTACTAATACTACTACTACTACTACTATTTATTCTCCTGCTTCTTTTTCGATTTTTCTTTTCTTCTTCTACGTTTCGAATTTTCCTCCTCCTCCTCCTCTTCCTCCCTCCTCCTCCTCTTCTATTATTTTTACTACTACTACTACTATTTATTCTCCTGCTTCTTTTCGATTTTTCTTTTCTTCTTCGAATTTTTCCTCCTCCTCCTCCTCTTCCTCCTCCTCCTCTTCTTCTATTATTATTACTACTACTACTACTACTATTTATTCTCCTGCTTCTTTTCGATTTTTCTTTTCTTCTTCTACGTCTTCGAATTTTCCTCCTCCTCCTCCTCTTCCTCCTCCTCCTCTTCTTCTATTATTATTACTACTACTACTACTACTATTTATTCTCCTGCTTCTTTTCGATTTTTCATTTCTTCTTCTACGTCTTCGAATTTCTCCTCCTCCTCTTCCTCCTCCTCCTCTTCTTGTATTACTACTACTACTACTACTAATACTACTACTACTACTACTATTTATTCTCCTGCTTCTTTTCGATTTTTCTTTTCTTCTTCTACGTCTTCGAATTTTTCCTCCTCCTCCTCCTCTTCTCCTCCTCTTCTTCTTCTATTATTATTACTATACTACTACTACTATTTATTCTCCTGCTTCTTTTCGATTTTTCTTTTTCTTCTTCTACGTCTTCGAATTTTCCTCCTCCTCCTCCTCTTCTTCCTCCTCCTCCTCTTCTACTACTACTACTACTACTACTACTATTATTTATTCTCCTGCTTCTTTTCGATTTTTTCTTTTCTTCTTCTATGTCTTCGAATTTCTCCTCCTCCTCCTCCTCTTCCTCCTCCTCCTCTTCTTCTATTATTACTACTACTACTACTACTATTTATTCTCCTGCTTCTTTATATTTTTTTTCTTTTCTTCTTCTATGTCTTCGAATTTCTCCTCCTCCTCCTCCTCTTCCTCCTCCTCCTCTTCTTCTATTATTATTACTACTACTACTACTACTATTTATTCTCCTGCTTCTTTTCGATTTTTCTTTTCTTCTTCTACGTCTTCGAATTTCTCCTCCTCCTCCTCCTCTTCCTCCTCCTCCTCTTCTTCTATTATTATTACTACTACTACTACTACTATTTATTCTCCTGCTTCTTTTCGATTTTTCTTTTCTTCTTCTACGTCTTCGAATTTCTCCTCCTCCTCCTCCTCTTCCTCCTCCTCCTCTTCTTCTATTATTATTACTACTACTACTACTACTATTTATTCTCCTGCTTCTTTTCGATTTTTCTTTTCTTCTTCTACGTCTTCGAATTTCTCCTCCTCCTCTTCCTCATCCTCCTCTTCTTCTTCTTCTGTTACTATTACTACTACTACTACTACTACTACTATTTATTCTCCTGCTTCTTTTCGATTTTTCTTTTCTTCTTCTACGTCTTCGAATTTCTCCTCCTCCTCTTCCTCCTCCTCCTCCTCCTCTTCTTCTATTATTATTACTACTACTACTACTACTATTTATTCTCCTGCTTCTTTTCGATTTTTTTTTCTTCTTCTACGTCTTCGAATTTTTCCTCCTCCTCCTCCTCCTCCTCCTCCTCCTCCTCTTCTTCTATTATTATTACTACTACTATTTATTCTCCTGCTTCTTTTCGATTTTTTCTTTTCTTCTTCTACGTCTTCGAATTTTTCCTCCTCCTCTTCCTCCTCCTCCTCTTCTTCTATTATTATTACTACTACTACTACTACTATTTATTCTCCTGCTTCTTTTCGATTTTTCTTTTCTTCTTCTACGTCTTCGAATTTTTCCTCCTCCTCCTCCTCTTCCTCCTCCTCCTCTTCTTCTATTATTATTACTACTACTACTACTACTATTTATTCTCCTGCTTCTTTTCGATTTTTCTTTTCTTCTTCTACGTCTTCGAATTTTTCCTCCTCCTCCTCCTCCTCTTCCTCCTCCTCCTCCTCTTCTTCTATTATCATTACTACTACTACTACTACTTTTATTCTCCTGCTTCTTCTTCGATTCTCTCCTTTTCTTCTTTTTCGTCTTTTATTTTCTACTTCTCTTTTTCTTCTTCTTCTTCTTCTTCTTCTTCTTCTTCTTCTTCTTCTTCTGTGGTTCTTAATTCTGTGATGTATATGTGTGTGGTATTTCTGCAACACGCTCTCTCTCCCCTATATACATATACATATATACAGTGTAACCCGGATATAAGGGAGTTGTTGGGACCGGAAAAAGCCTCTTATATCCGGGTTTGGTCTATTTTATATACATTAACACAGGCTCTAATTTGGGACCAGAGAAAATCTCTTATATATCCGGGTTTCTCTTATATCCGGGTCTCTTTTATCCGGGTTACACTATATATATATATATATATATATATATATATATATATATATATATATTGTTAGAAAGAGAGATAGAGAGATAGAGAGAGACAGAGAGAGTCAGTGCAAAGAGCTAATTCAAATTGGATACGTTTTTAATGCTTCGATTTTAGTTTGATATTTCGAAGTCAATAATATACTTCATATAAAACAATTAAAGGCAGAAGTAATATATTACTTTTCTTTTTCTTTCTTTCTATTTCTTCTTCTTTTTCTTCCACATCTTTTAAAATATATTGCTTCGCGCTTTCTCTTTGTTTATCCTCATTTCCTCTTCATTTCTATCATTTCTTTTTATTTCTTTTCTTTCCATTTCTGTCCTTTGATTGATTCTTTCTTTCTTTCTTTCTTTCTTTCTTTCTTTCTTTCTTTCTTTCTTTCTTTCTTTTCTTCCATATTTTTTAGTATATTGTTTCTCTCTTTCTTTTCATATCCCCATCATTGTTTCCTTCTGTTTTTCTTTCTTTCTTAAATATGTATCTTCTTTCTTTTCATTTTTGCCTGTTTCGTATCGTTTTTTCTTTATTTCCGAACAGATGAAATTTGAAGAAATTGGAATGTGGCTCTACATAAGGATGTTGAGAATACCATGAACTGGAAATGCAAGCAATGACGAAGTTTTAGAGATATGGAATAAAAAAATGCAATTATACCTAACAGACCTAATGAGAAAAAAGAGCTTGACAACTTTGGAACTCACAAGGTATTAGGACCTTGAATAAGTTCTCGATGTTTTCCAAGACATGGCGTTCCCAGAATTGCGTCCGTGTAGTTTCAGATGGTAATGCATTTATAAGGAAGTACTATAAGCAAGCTTGAAATTCAGTGTGTGTCATTTCGCAGAAGTGGGAACAACTTAACGTTAATTATGTTGGATTTCATGCCAAAGAAAAATGTATTTGCGGGGAATTTTACTGTACTAGTTTATTCAAAAGAAATCTGAAGCTAAAGCACACAGTTCTTGTTAAGACATACGGCGACCATGATCTGTTGAAAACAATATTGCAGAGATTATTTTAGACGCTTCAAAAATAATGATTTTGATTTTGAAATTAAAAAACGCTCTGGCGAAACGAAAAAGTTTGGAGATGTCGAATTGGAGGCATTACTTCATGAAGACTTATGTCAGGTTCAAGCTGAACTTGCAGAATCATTAGAAGTTGATCACAAAAATGTTTGCAAGCATTAGGAAAGATTCAAAGCAAGGACATTGGGTGTCGTACGAGTTGAAGTCGAGAGACGACGAACGACGTCTTCTCACGCGTCAACAGCAAAAAAAGAAATGTTTTTTTGCATCGTATCGTGACCGGCGATGAAAAGTGGATACATTACGATAACTAAGCGTAGAAGATCGTGGGGTAAGCCCGGGCATGCATCAAAATCGTCGGCAAACCAGAATATCCATGGTTCGAAGCTTCTGTTCTGCAGTTGGTGGTATCAGGTGTGTGTAGTTTATTATGAGCTGATCAAAGCGACTGAAATTATCACGGGAGATTGCTATTGATTACAATTGATGCATTTGAACCGAGCATTGAAGAAAAAAACGGCCGCTATACAGAGACACGACAAAGTGATTTTGCAACACGACAACTCTAGGCCACATGTTGCAAAACGGATGAAAAACTACTTGGAAACGCTTAAATGGGAAGTCCTACCCCACATGTCGTATTCACCAGGCATTGCCCCGTTTGATTATCACTTGATCCAATCGATGGAACATAGCCTGGGTAAGCAGAACTTTCATTCTTATGAAGATGCCAAAAAATGGGTCAACTGATGGTTAGCCTCAAAGACGTGTTGTTTATCCGACTTGCAATTCAAATGCCTCCGGAAAGATGGGACAATATAGTGGCTATCGGTGGGTAATACTTTCAATGACACATTTCTTACTAATTTTTGTAAATAAAACATTAATTTTCACGAACATGGTTTAGGAGAGATAACAAAAAGAGAAAAAATACTAAGATGTACAAAAGACAGATAATTGTGCAGAGCCATAATCGCCCACGTCGCGAAGGGACACGACACAGAGAAGATGTGTCGTTGGCAAGAGAACGAAAAGGTAAACGTAGCTTTAGTTTTTTTAAGGAAGTCAAAAAAAGTAGACACAAAAGAAGAAAAGAAGAAGAAGAAGAAGAAGAAGAAGAAGAAGAAGAAGAAGGAGAAGAGTAAGAAGAGAAGGAGTAAGAGTAGGAGGAAAGAGTGGTAAGAGTATTAACCATCACAGGTAACCGAGAATGAACAATGTGATACTAAAATCTTTACTGAAAAGCGCTTGAAGAGTTGACGCCATGATATCCCACATATCTCTTAAAATACAAGGATCCTGAATTGGAAATCTCAGAAATGGAACTGATGAGAACATTTGTAGTTGTAGTTGGAGTCCTTGCTTTGAATGGATTTGATTCCAATAGACTCATTGAAGTGATTTTCGTTAATCCATGCCTTAAGAAAACACAAAAAGTTATATTCACAATAATAATAATAATAATAATAATAATAATAATAATAATTTAATCACCAAAGAAGATGGGACTGAGTGACCCGACGCTGAGTTGAATAAAAAATAAATAAATCATCATAATAACAATTTATCCTCTATCTTCCATTACTGAAATATTTGATTTCCTTTAGGCTTTTATTTGTCTTTTTAACGTCTTGATTTTATTCAGTTGAAAAGACTAAACTGGAAGCCATTTTATCTGGATTCCATGGTTCATTGAATAACGCTTTTTATCTTGTCTTCAAATTAATATTCATACTATAAAATAAATAAAAAAAACAGCATTACAATTTTAACAAGAATAAATACCATATTTGACGCGCGTGGGTATAAGACGCACCCAAATTTCAGCAGGGCAAATCAAGAAAAATTAGTAATTAGTAAAATTATTAGTAAATTTTACAGCCTAGGCTAAATTTATGAGGTATTATTGTGCTTAAAGAAACCATGATTACAATTAAATGAAAAATAATAGGAAAAAAAGAATACGAGTCTATAAAAACTTTATTATATCCAAAGAATGCAAAATAAAAATCAGGCAATTATTACAATTGAGCAAAACAATATAGTTACCATTAAAATTCAATCAAAAGATTTTCCTTTATATGATGTCTACAACCGACTTGTAAACGTCTTATTGGACTAATTTGGATATAAAAATTCTGATTGTATTTTTACCAATGGAATCGGGAGTTATCACAAGGACAATATTAATGAAACAAATATATTTTACAAATACATAATTTGAATTTATTGCATATAATTTTAGTGAAACAATGTACTAATATTAAACATGATGAAATTAATATAATTAATATTATCAATGGTAACACTTTTAATCTGCATAATAGCCTTTTGAATAATGACAATGGTTATATGGAAGTTACTGTAAAGTTTAAGCAAATAGGAGTTGTCAGGTAGCTAATTTCGGCCGACTATCGCGAATTTTAAACCTACATCTGGCATATAAGACGCAAGGGAATTTTAAAAGTTATTTTTAGTAAAAAAACGTGCGTCTTATATGGCGTCAAATATGATGGTTGATTTTAGCAATTGTCAAATATTAACGAATAAAATTTGAGAAAGAGGAGAGATTCATTTTAATTAAAAACGTGAAATATAGACGGTGACAAATGATGAAAATGATGTAAACCGAATATAGACGATGACAAATGCTGAAAATGACGTAAACCGAATATAGACGGTGACAAATGCTGAAAATGACGTAAACCGAATATAGACGGTGACAAATGATGAAAATGACGTAAACCGAATATAGATTATGACAAATCATGAAAATGACGTAAACCAAACAGACGATGCCAAATGATGAAAATGACGTAAACCGAACATAAAGAAAATATAAAATGATGACAAATAGGAGGACCATGAAAAATGACGTAAACCGAATATAGACGATGTAAACCAAATGATGAAAATGTAAACGTAAACCGAATACGATGCCAAATGAGGACCAAATGATGAAATGAAAATGACGTAAACCGAATATATGACAAATGATGAAAATGATAAACCGAGAAATGATGAAAATGACGTAAACCGAATATAGAGGAGGACCAATGATGAAAATGACGTAAACCGAATATAGACGATGACAAATGCTGAAAATGACGTAAACCGAATATAGATGGTGACAAATGATGAAAATGACGTAAACCGAATATAGATTATGACAAATCAGGAAAATAACGTAAACCGAATATAGACGATGCCAAATGATGAAAATGACGTAAACCGAATATAGACGATGCCACATAATGAAAATGACGTAAACCGAATATAGACGATGCCAAATGATGAAAATGACGTAAACCGAATATAGATGGTGACAAATGATGAAAATGACGTAAATCGAATATAGATTATGACAAATCAGGAAAATAACGTAAACCGAATATAGACGATGCCAAATGATGAAAATGACGTAAACCGAATATTGACGATGACAAATGACGTAAACCGAATATAGACGGTCACCAATGATGAAAATGATGTAAACTGAATATAGACGATGACAAGCATCTCCCCTCATTAGCAAAGACTAGGCGTGAGATTATTTTAGGCGTTGACTACCCAGCCATGGGTTATGTGTTCCATTGTCAATAGCATAAATATAGTACATTTAAATGTTTCTAACGAAATTATAGCACGATGTACTTTGATTATTTTTGGAATACATCTTTCCTTATTACTATAAGCCTACGAATTTTTGCCTCACTTTTTCCATCGTCTGTTAATAGACGACATGAACGTTTCTCAACCGGTGCACCCAGGGATACAAACGCGCCATGAAATGTAGCCAGGTGATCCCAAAGTTAACAGAAAGTTAATTTATGTATTATAATTTTAAAGAAATCTTTATTCATAAACATATAGACTCCAAGAAATGTAATCTCCCGTCCTGGGTATGACGATAAACTACATCCGCGTCATGAGTAAGACGATAAACTACGTCCAACAGCAAGGCCTCTGGTCAGGAGGTTTTGAGGAGCGAGTAACCACCTCTTAATTGCTGATGTTCCCAGGTCCACCCTGAACTGGTGTAGTAGCACCTGTTAGGGTCTCAGCTATGGGCATATTGTTAAGCCCCAAACTATGAAAATGTAAAAATAGGTTTTAATACCAGAAATACTTTGTAAAAAAATTATTACCATCAATACGTTTTTGAAGAAAGATTGTTACCAGCAATATATTTTTGAAAAAAAGATATTACCATCTATACTTTTTGAAAAAAAAAAATTACAAGTGACTAGCAGCATGGCCTGGCGTTTTTCGTGCTTGATTCAAAAAGCGTACGACCCATACAGCAATCGCTATCACTTGACTTAAAATATTTTTGCCCTTCCTTGCCTTTAAAGGAGTGCCCTTTGCCGTGCTGATGTTGCTATATGCCTTACTTCTTGCCTATCTCACACTTCCAATTTTTTAAGCTCTATACTAAACATTAAATCTGTTACGAAAAGAACTAAACAAAAGAATACATATTCTATTCATACGAATTTATCCTAAAAATGTTGTCGGCATTAAATAACCCATTGAGGTTGATATGCCGTCAAACAAAATAAACCAAACCAATCTAAACCAAAGAATACATATTCTATTCATACGAATCTATCCTATAATTGTTGTCGTCATTAAATAACCCATTGAGGTTGATATGCCGTAAAACAAAACAAACGAAGCCAAGCCAATGCAAACTCTTAAAAATAAATGCTTCTGTCAGGTGATTTCTTTATTATTTTTCTATTTTCAAATTTCATGAGTAGTTTTTCTATGACGAGTTATTGTAACTATTTACAGTAATTTTATTGTTCAGGCCGATGACCTGACTTTTACTGTCACCTTCGAAACATTTCGGCCGAGGTCAGTTTCCGGTTTTTCTGTTTGCCAATTTCTGTTCACGGAGTTCTGTTATATGATTTCTGTGATAGAAATTCTGTTTCCCGATTTCTGTTTTGCTAGTGCATTTTGTTCGATTTCAGTTTTCCGAGTGCAATTTGCCATATTCAGTTTTCGGATTTCTGTTTTCCTCGTTTTGCATTCCGATTTCTGAATTCCGAGTTATGTTTTCCAATATCTTTTTTTCGAGTTCTGTTTTCTGTTTTCCGATTTCGCTTTCTCGATTTCTGTCTTCCGAGTTCTGTTTTCCGAGTTCATTTTTCCGATTTCTGTTTTCTGAGTTTTGCATCCAGATTTCTGTTTTCCGAGTTTTGTATTCTGTTTTCCGATTTCAATTTCTTGATTTCTGTTTTCCGAGTTCAATTTACAGATTTCAGTTTTCCGAGATTTGTTTTCAGATTTCTGTTTCCCAAGTTCTGTATTCTGATTTCTGTTTTTCCAGCTTTGCGGGTGGAGTTGTTCGATTTCTGTTTTCTGAGTTCAATTTACCGAGATTTGTTTCCTGATTTCTGTTTTCCGCGTTCAATTTTTAAATTTCTGTTTTCCGAGTTCTCTATTCCCATTTCGCTTTTCCGATATCTGTATTCCGATTTCGACATTCCGATTTCAGTTTTCCAGTTCTGTTTTCCGATTTCTGTTTTCCGAGTTCAATTTTCAGATTTCTGTTTTCCGACTTCAATTTTCAGATTTCTGTTTTCCGACTTCAGTTCTTCGATTTATTTTTTCTGAAGTCAGTTTTCCGAGTTTCGTTTTCCGATTTCTGTTTTCCGAGATCAGTTTTCCGATTTCTGTTTTCCGAGTTCGATTTTCAGATTTCTGTTTTCCGAGTTCAGATTTCAGATTTCTGTTTTCCGAGTTCAATTTTCAGATTTCTGTTTTCCAAGTTCTGTTCTCCGCGAAAAATTCTCCGATTCCACTTTTCCGATTTCTCTCTGCCAAATTCTGTTTCCCGAATGTTGCTTGTTTAGGAAACATCCCAAAAGAAGATAGCAACTTCAGAACTGTGTAGACTTAAAGGCAAACTGCAGAACAGTGCGAAATTCTCAACATCCCCATGGCCTCTCGTCTGTCAGGGCGTTCGTCGCCTGAGGACTTTTTTATTTCATCAAAATCCTACAGAGCCGACTGACGGTTGGTACCTCAACTAAGATCAGCTGACCTTATTTACAGTAGCCAGCCAGAAGCAAATAACGATTTGAATTCAGAGTTGTTTTTTTCCTATACTGGTCAACAACCACGGCAAGAGAGAAGAAATAGATTCCAAAAACGCTAATATAATGACCTCGTTAGGAATTAGACCTGGGCGATTTATCGTTCCATGACTCTATCAGTGCATGTCCAGTGTTATTGATTAGAGACAAATATTCACCTAAATAATTTTTTAATCATCCCACCCCACAAGCAAGGCAGGAATGCAACTAGTACGCAGGGGGAGAGATTGAAAGGGAATGAAAAGAGAGGGCATAAGGGATTGAGCAAAATAAATAAATAAATAAACGATGAACACGATTCAAGAAGATAGAAGTTGGCCATTGACGTTGTGTTTGAAACTTTAAAAAATGTACTTATCAGAGAAGCAAGTAAACAGAAGTGAGTTCTATATAGAATAGAAATCCAACTTTAACTCATTCGAATAGCTATTTCTGTTAACAGAAATTTGTTGGCTTTGTCAACTCAGAGGTGTGAAGAAATAAAATAATATTTTCTATTCTATTTAATTTATATTCTCTGTTATAATAAATACATTGAGCTCTCTTTGTGGATCAGTTTTAATATTTTATATTAGTAGGATTCACTTGGATTATATAGCAACGGATTATTACCTGTACACACAAACACACACACACATATATATATATATATATATATATTGTTTTATATATATATTGTTTTTTTATATATATATATATATATGTGTGTGTGTGTGTGTAATACATATATATATATATATATATATATATATATATATATGTAATTTGAAAATGTGTTATATTAATATGGAAAGATTGCTCAATATTGAGTATAGGTCGTTTGTAGATATAAGTATATGAAAGAAATATTGCATTGTGACTGCGTGTTTCCCATCTTAAGTACTCATCAGATCATCGGAAGGGCAAAGCAAGCTAAACACTCTCTTTCAAATGCTTTTAACATTGCCTATCATTCACCATTCTGATTCAATCCGTTCACTTAGTCGTCTGCGAAATTCTTTCTTTACCACAAATATTTATTCAGCCTTTAATAAATTCATTCACTCACTCAATCTGTTTATTCATTCAGTATGGATCCCATGAAAACCATAAAGGCCTTTTTGTCTGTCTCCTTAAAATGGGAATGTTTCATTAGGTACAAAAAAAATGGAAGAGGCAAAAGAAAGAAATAAAACGAAATAAAATCGAATAAAAGACTAAAAGCTTTATAATGAAAACGATTCTTATATTCCTCTGCATTCCTACCCGACCCTTAAAAATTTCTCATTTTGTCACAATACCATTTTTATTTTGGTTGTTCGTTTTTTGTTTGTTTGTTTATTCGTGTATGCATTTTTTTTGAAGGATGAAAAAAATATTTGGACTTTGCTGATGAGGGAGAATTTGAGATAAAAAAAGGATCGACTATGAAGAAATAACAACAAAACAAATAACGTAAAAAATGGAAGAGAAGGAGAAAGAAAGAAAATTTTACAATTTTGCGAAAAAAAAAATAAGCGGTAAAAATCAAATTGGGAAAGGTGAAAAAAATCGACTAAGTATGAAAGGAAAAAAGAAAAAAAGGGAATAACAGTATCGGAGGATGAAAGACAGGCGAGCAAATAAAAGGTAGACTATAAGAAAGAAAGAAAGAAAGAAAGAAAGAAAGAAAGAAAGAAAGAAAGAAAGAGAAGAAAAGAAAATATCAACATGGAAGTAAAATGAAGAGAAAATAAAGGTATACCGACGGAAAGAAAGAAACAAACAAACAAAGGAAGGAAGAAAGAAAGAAAGAAAGAAAGAAAGAAAGAAAGAAAGAAAGAAAGAAAGGTGAAACTAGAAAATACCAACATGGAGTAAAATAAAGAGGAAATAAAGACATACAGACGGAAAGAAAGAAAGAAAGAAAGAAAGAAAGAAAGAAAGAAAGAAAGAAAAAAAGAAAGAAAATACCAACATGGAGGTAAAATAAAGATATACCGACGGAAAGAAAGAAAGAAAAGAAGAAAGAAAGGAAGAAAGAAAGAAAGAAAGAAAACTAAACAATAATATAAAAGCAGAAGGAAGGAGGAGAGGCAAAAATAGAAAGAAAGAAGTAAAGAAAGAAAGAAAGAAAGAAAGAAAGAAAGAAAGAAAGAAAGAAAGAAAAAGAAAGGCTGATATAACCACACACACTCGGAGATAGAAAAGTGTCGGTTATATAGAAAACAAGGACAATAGTAAATGAAAAAGAAACAGAAAGAAGGAAAGAAAGACTAATAAAAAAAGCAGAAGGAAGGAGAAGGGGCAAAAAAAAATAGAAAAAGAAAGAAAGAAAGAAAGAAAAGAAAGAAAAAGAAAGAAAAAAAAAAGAAGGAAGGAAGGAAGGAGGAAAAGAAAGAAAGAATGTAAGAAAACTAAAGACTAATATAAAAGCAGAAGGAAGGAGATGGTTAAAAAAATAGAAAAGAAAGAAAGAAAAGAAAGAAAGAAAGAAAGAAAAGAAAGAAAGAAAAAGAAAGGAAGAAAGAAAGAAAACTAAAGACTAATATAAAAGCAGAAGGAAGGAGAAGGTGCAAAAATAGAAAGAAAGAAAGAAAGAAATAAATAAAGAAAGAAAGAAAGAAAACTAAAGACTAATATAAAAGCAGAAGGAAGGAGAAGGTGCAAAAAATAGATAGAAAGAAAGAAAGAAAGAAAGAAAGAAATGAAGGAAGGAAGAAAGGAAGAAAGAAAGAAAGAAAAAAGGAAGAGAAAAAGAAAGGCTGATATAACTACAGACACTCGGAGATAGAAAAGTGTCGGTTTGATAGAAAACAAGGATGATAGAAAATGAAAAAGAAACAGAAAGAAGGAAAGAAAGACTAATAGAAAGGCAGAAGGAAGGAGAAGGGGCAAAAAATAGAAAGAAATAAAGAAAGAAAGAAAGGAAGAAAGAAAGAAAAGAAGGAAGGAAGGAAGGAGGAAAGAAAGAAAGAATGTAAGAAAACTAAAGACTAATATAAAAGCAGAAGGAAGGAGATGGTTAAAAAAATAGAAAGAAAGAAAGAAAGAAAGAAAGAGAGAAAGAAAGAAAGAAAGAAAGAAAAAAGGAAGAAAGGAAGAAAGAAAGAAAACTAAAGACTAATATAAAAGCAGAAGGTAGGAGAAGGTTAAAAAAATAAAAAGAAAGAAAGAAAGGAAGAAAGAAAATTAAAGAGAAAATATAGAAACAGATAAAGCGTCAGAATACGAGAGAAACATAAAACATAAAAACAAAAAAACACATTGTGTATCAAAAATACTTTCCTAAAAACAATTGGGGTCGGTTTCCTCACACCAATCAAGGATAACTTATGTCCGTTTTTGACTTATGGAGTATAAAGTAACTTTACGGTAGATGGTGCTGTAGACTCACTCGATATTTTTTGATACCACGGATCCTGTCTCAGCAGCACGATGGTAAACAGCAGCAAAGCTTAGAAGACTCGGCTGAATTTGGGCTGGAAACGCAATGTGATACAGCCATGCAGCCTCACGTCCATTACCATTCGCGCAGCCGGATGTAAACATCATATCTACCTGCTCATCATATGAATATCCGACCATCGTGAAACGGAACACTTCACAATTAACTCACTCCTACACACGCTAAACGTTGAAGACAGACTCGCCAGAAATACACACGAATGACAAATGTCTCCTAGTCTACGCACAACACAGCGCCATTTATCGTAATTTTTAAAAAATTAATAACTGTAAAACGAATTTGCAGACCTATGTTTATATAGACTTGTTTTGGTGTGAGGAACACATCTACAAAGTTTGTAGAAGTATTTTTGATACGCCCCTGTCTATACACGCGCAACACAAAGAAAAAGAAAGAAACTTGCTTAACCAGAGAGATAGAATGACAGAAAAAAAAATAGACAGAAAAATGGTAGCAGAACGTGAAAAAGAGAGATATGCAGGAAGAAAGAGTATCTGTCTATATTTCTGAGATGAGGTATTATGTACATTATTTACATTATTTGGACTATTGTCCTCATCTTTGTCGCCATATTTACTACAACGTTTCGGCCTTTCAGTATCTGTCTATATTTCTGAGATGAGGTATTATGTACACTATTTACATTATTCGGACTATTGTCCTCATCTTTGTCGCCATATTTATTACAACGTTTCGGCCTTTCAGTATCTGTCTATATTTCTGAGATGAGGTATTATGTGCACTATTTACATTATTCGTAATAGTGTCCTCATCTTTGTCGCCATATTTTTACAACCTTTCGTCCCTTCAGTATCTGTCTATATTTCTGAGATGAGGTATTATGTACATTATTTAAATTATTCGGATTATTGTCCTTATCTTTGTCGCTATATTTATTATAACGTTTCGACCCTTCAGACTCTGTCTATATTTCTGAGATGAGGTATTAGTACACTATTTACATTATTCGGACTATTGTCCTCATCTTTGTCGCCCGAAACCTTGTGATAAACATGGCGACAAAGATGAGGACAATAGTCCGAATAATGTAAATAGGGAGAAAGA